TGGTGTGTGACTCAATCTGAATTCCTCTAGATCAGTGGTTCTCAACCCGTGGCTCAGGGGCCACATGCAGCCCAATTAGCACATAGCTGTGGCCCAGCTGTGTGCTAAAGGCCGCTGGGCAGTGCGGCAGGGTCCAGGTTCCCAGCCGCCTGGGTCTGGGTCTGCCGGCTGGCCCCGCGGGGTCGGGATCTGCTCCTGGCCCCACTCTGTGGAGGGGTCTCTGGGCGGGAGGCGCTGGGCATGGGGGTCTGTCGGAGAAAATTTGGGGGGGGGGTAAGAGGGGAGCGCTGTGGTTCTCAACCTGCAGCTCACAATGATAAATAGGTTGAGAACCACTGATCTAGAGGAATTCAGATTGAGTCACACACCAGCAAACATGGAACCATACACAATCATCACAGGTTCATGGGCAAAAACATAGTTGCTGTAGAAATCACATATGGAACTTTCAAACTTTACTATTATCTGTGCTTACAGAAAAGATTTAGGAACATAAAACTGATGGACTGTCACTGTAGATATCCAATAACCTTTCAAGGAACAACACATTGCTAGTTCAATATGGTTCTAATAAATGAAGAACGGAAATCATGAGCAGAGCATGTTCATTAATCCCAAAGAAAAAATCTTAGCTGAAAAACAGTTAAAGCAGATAGTATATATAAGAAACAAGATTATTTTTTTTTACAATGAGAATAACTGTGCCTCTTGCTGAAGAACTTGCTGTTTGTCACAGTTATATCATTATATTACAATATCATATTAATCCTTTGAAGTCTGGTATCCAAAGTGCCATTTCTGCTATTGATTCCATAAGATTACTTTTGAAAGCATGTTCTAAAGGTCCATCAGACAACTAACTGGAAGTCCAGTATTTACGTGCCTGGAAAAAATCCCAATCTAGAATTTTTGCAGCCCCACGAACAAAATGTTTTACATGCATCACTGTAGAAAAAGCTAACAAACAATTTGACAACAAATATGTCTATCATAATTAACTAGTAGATCAGTTTAACGGAACAATATCAATGTCATCTTCATGCATTTCAATAAGATTAAATTAAGAATAAGGAGGCATACTGCCTGCACCCAGGATGTATGCATTTGTGTATTATTAGTTTCACATAAATACAGCAATGCTAAAATGTATTGAGAGATTTAGAAAGCAGCTAACTCACATAACAGAAACACAGAAAGAAAAAGGGCAGAAATAAAGACATCCACACACAGATGACTACCTTGATGTTTTCCCAGAATTATCTTCCCTGCTTCCTAGGATTACTGTTTTTTTTTCCCTTTTATTCAATGGGCATCTCGTGGGCAGATGTCTGCAGATGTTAGCTCAATGTTAGCTCCCAGCCCCAGCCCCTTCTTCCTTATTGGTGGATCCAAGACAAAATGACAGGTTATTCAAATAGAAACTCTAGAGATTTTATAAGTATGATATCAACTTATAAATGTAAGTTCATAGAAAACCATCTGTTACAGTAGGATACTAGACTAATGTGACCAGCAAAGCCTACCACTTAAATCCACTTCTTAGTAATTATCAGGCTTAAAACTAATAGCATAGGGCTTGCTTAGATAGATGTCTCTCTGATGCAAGCCTCTAGAGTAGACAAAATGGAGCTTGCACCGTGTGACTTACCCTGGCGAGTCTTCCTTCGGTGCAACATGCAGCGAATAAAAAATTTCCTCTCTCCACACTTTATGCCTGGATTCAGTAGAAATCAATTTAACTGAGATGGTATCCAGACTTGGAACAAGTTACTGCTGCCTCTAAAACTAACTTATCTTTGGGTATGCTTGAGAAATTACAGGAGACATCAGATGATGTTATATACACCTCTACCCCGATATAGCGCGACCCGATATAACACGAATTCGGATATAATGCGGTAAAGCAGTGCTCCGGGGCGGCAGGGCTGCGCACTCCGGCGGATCAAAGCAAGTTCGATATAATGCGGTTTCACCTATAACGTGGTAAGATTTTTTGGCTCCCGAGGACAGCATTATATCGAGGCAGAGGTGTATTTGGTCTAGATTCTCAGCCCACAATGTGCAGTTTCTTTGCTGTTACTAGAATGATACAAGAATAAGATCACACTTCCTTCCCTGACCTGTCAAGAAGTTAGTCTAAAAGCATCATAGTGTAGTCAAAAATTCAAGATGCAGGTACGAAGTTACATCTGCTTGTGTAGGCCTGCATCTCTAAATGAAGCAGCATGTAGGCTTCCATTGCCATTCACAAAAAAGGACACCTAGACCTTTGGAGATGTAACCATAAGATAGAAAAAATTTCAGAGGATGGCTTTTCTTTCCCCCATCTCTGCAAGTATTTTGTAGATTCATGTGCAACACTCACTGAAGAGCTAAGGTGACATCCACATTGACCAAACCTTAGTTATATTTTAAACAAATTGCAAAATCATAAATGAACCAAATCAGTAGATCTGTCAAACAAATTCATTATATTCTATTTTGATTTGTGTTAGTGAATGATGCTACTAATTTAAATTAGGATATAAAGATGCTACTACACAAGAGGTTCATTTTCCTTTTACTGTAACATATATATGGTTGATATTTTCACAGGGTTCCCATAATGCAACTGTGTACAAATTAGTGAAGATGACAGATAAAAATTCAGCATTTCCAAATATAACCATTATTTGTTTTAGGAATGGCACAGACATCAGCCAGCACTGGCAATGAGTTTCTCAATCTAAGATGAATAGCAATCCTTGCCAAGGTTAGCGGTGAGGTATCAGCATATAGGTGTCATCTTTTTTTTGGTGAATAATGCAGATTCAGCGACAAACACATTTTGTGAATTCGTGTCAATTTTGCCAACATTATTTTGTTTAAAAAAAATCTAAAATATCTAAATGTTCTGTTTTGACATTTTTTAAATAAAACATTTTGATCTTTTGATTCAAAATTACTTTTTATTTCAAAATTTCCTTTAATTTTATTAAAAACATTAAATGCTCAAAATGGAAACAACACATTTCAATTCAGGACAAATAAAACATTTCATTCCTGGTGGATATTACTCTGTAGGCAGGTGAATGCTTCAGAGGATTCTCATTATGAAAGCCAGCAGTCATTTAATAACATATTACAAGTAGGATTTGTGATGCTCTGTAGGCAGCCAACTTTCCAACCCTTTTCCTGCTACTTCCTTTTCTGAAGACCATGGGTTCAGGATGTTTGATGTCTGCTTCCCAGAAGTTTGAACCCCTGGCATTGTTCATAATTGATGCCCAAATTAAAATCAAATATAAATCTCTTAACCTAAATAGGGACACCCACTACCATGTTGTTCTTTGGAGAGCAACTTTCTGGCTCCATGGACATCACTTGGACAGAGTAGTTGCATCCTTCTGCAGCCCATGCCCGATCCAGATCCACCAGCCCCATACAGTGTTTTCCTAGAATACCAGAACAAAAACAGAAACATTAAAAGACTTCCTTAATGTTTAGTAGAAATATATGATCTACAAAGAAATGTTCCCTTTGGCATCAGAATCATAGAAGATTAGGGTTGGAAGAAACCTCAGGAGATCACCTAGTCCAACCCCCTGCTCAAAGCAGGACCAAACCCAACTAAATCATCACAGCCAGGGCTTTTTCAAGCCGGGCCTTAAAAACCTCTAAGGATGGAGATTCCACCACCTCCCAATGTAACTCATTCCAGTGCTTCACCATCCTCCTAGTGAAATAGTGTTTCCTAATATCCAACCGAGCCCTCCCCCACTGAAACTTGAGACCATTGCTCCTTGTTCTGTCATCTACCACCATTGAGAACAGCCTAGCTCCATCCTCTTTGGAATCCTCCTTGAGGTAGTTGAAGGCTGCTATCAAATCCCCCCTCACTCTTCTCTTCTGCAGACTAAACAAGCCCAGTTTCCTCAGCCTCTTCTCGTAAGTCATGTGCCGCAGCTCCCTGATCATTTTCGTTGCCCTCCACTGGACTCTCTCCAATTTGTCCACATCCTTTCTGTATGGGGGGCCCAAAACTGGATGCAATACTCCAAATGTGGCCTCACCAGTGCTGAATAGAGGGGAATAATCACTTCCCTCGATCTGCTGGCAATGCTCCTACTAATGCAGCTCAATATGCCATTAGCCTTCTTGGCAACAAGGGCACACTGCTGACTCAGATCCAGCTTCTTATCCACTGTAATCCCCAGGTCCTTTTCTGCAGAGCTGCTGCTTAGTCAGTTGGTCCCCAGCCTGTAGCAGTGAATGGGATTCTTCCATCCTAATTGCAGGACTCTGCACTTGTCCTTGTTGAACCTCATCAAATTTCTTTTGGCCCAATCCTCCAATTTGTCTAGGTCACTCTGGACCCTATCCCTACCCTCCAGCGTATCTACCGCTCCCACCAGCTTAGTCACCCGTGAACTTGCTGAGGGTGCAATCTATCCCATCATCCAGATCATTAATAACATTAATGAACATTGTTCAATTATTAGTGAAGTCAGAAAAGTTATTTACATAGCAGTAAATAACTTAGAATCTAGATGCAACCTAATCCACATCTCTAAATCTGCTTTCCCCCATTTCACCTATATTTTTATTTACTTAATTAAATAATTAATATTTCTATGGCAACCATTATTTTACGTGTGTGCCTCACAAACCTCACATGACAAAGAGGTTGGATTATTATCCTCCTTTATGGACGGAGAAACACAATGTGTTCTTTTCTATTACCCAAAATTACGGGGTGTGGGATACATCATGTGTACGTGGCAGGTAAAGACAGCTCCTGGTACTAGGGAAAGATTGGCACCAGCTCCTCAGGTGGTGGAGGATGGGGCAGAGGGGAACTGGTCCCCACTTCCCATCAGCCATAGCCATTTTCCTAATCTCCTTCATGTCTTGTCTAAAATCTGGAAATCTTGGGCTAGGTCTACACTACCCGCCTGAATCGGCGGGTAGAAATCGACCTCTCGGGGATCCATTTATCGCGTCCCGTCGGGACATGACAATCGATCCCCGAATCGACGCTCTTACTCCACCAGCGGAGGTGGGAGTAAGCGCCGTCGACAGGAAGCCGCAGAGGTCAATTTTGCCGCCGTCCCTACAGCGGGGTAAGTCGGCTGCGATACGTCGAATTCAGCTACGCTATTCACGTAGCTGAATTTGCGTATCTTAAATCGACCCCCCCCCTGTAGTGTAGATGTAGCCTTAAAGTGTTTAACAGAACTATTAGCCCATTTCCACAGAAAATACAAAAATAAAATACTGAACAAAGTTTATCCAGGGTGACTGATTTGTGGCAACATGAAAATAAGTGCTCGCCAGCAAAATGGGTGGGAGAACTTGATGGGGCCAATGATGAAAGGGCGGACAGTCCCAGCAGAAGGGAGGGAGACACTCAACAAGGGACAGTAGGTAACTCCTCCCCATGGAAGTCTCTGGAACTCACTGACCTGCTGGGGGAGAGGGGTGCTCATTGGCCAGCACTTCCCAGCTCCCAGGATTTAGCCCAAAGCAGGGGTCATATGGAGCCTCTTTCAACTCCATTACAGTAGCCCACTCTACCCACTTGAAGTAGGAATGGGAACCTGGCCTGACAGATGCTGCAGCTCTAGCCGATCGCCTGTTTAGGGGGTCAGTATGGAATTTTTTCTGCCATGAGGCAATTGGAAGGGCACCAGGGAGTTTTTTGCCTTCCTTGAAGCACCTTCAAGCCACAGGGGGTTGAGTAGGAACACAGTCAATTTCTAACTGAGGTACTGGGGTGGAGTTGTTTATTCATTGCAATTTGCAGCCAGTTTCCAATGCAGTTAAGAGAATAAAATGAATGTTTCCCAACCTTGGGCTCATGTGATAAGGTGAGCCTTTGTGGGTCGAGGTCCTCACCCTGCTGCAACCCCTGTCCCTCTCACAGGGGGGAAGGTGCTAGCACTGAAAGAGAGCAGAGTACTGGGGGGGGTAGGCTGAGGAGAGCCTAGCTTGCATTATGAGCCTACCTAATGCCAATTATGGTAAAGAGCCCTGTAACCCTTGTATTGGAACCAATTAAATGCCGGGTTTTGGAGAGTCTGAATAGTGAGCAGGTAGCACCCTCTCCCTTGTGTTACAGTTTAATAAAAATTGCAGACTGCCGCTTAATTCTGTGCACGTCTCTGTCCTCATCAGTTACATACAGTCTAATTACTTCTAGAAATCGAAACAAAAACTTCATTTTAGAAACATATTTGGGAATAAATCTGAGCAACTGTAGAGGAAAAGTCTGAATTGTTCTTGGTTTAGAATTTTGTAGGATAGTAAAGCCAAGCCAAAGGTATATGTTTTCTTTACAGATTTCAGGTGAATATTATTCAGTACATTTGGTTCCTATCTATGTCCAAACTATCTGAACTGATAATTCACAGAAAAGGTGGCACTTTCACAACCGTTACAAGAAAGTTTCATCAGTATCTTGAGATGTATTAAAGATTCATAATTATAAAGTCTTGAACAAGATGCAAAAGCTACTATAGTCTCTCCTTTTCATACTCCTATGCTTTTATCTATGGCCTAACAAAATAATACAATTTAATGCATTTGGGATCGGAGAGTCACTACAGTACATTTCACAAAAGCTGGCACACAGATGCAGAGCTGCATATCATATTTAAACATTTCTCTTTAAATATTAAACTGTACTGAGTTCAATCTACTTACTATTTTTCCATAACAAATGGATGGTAACAAGCATTTTCTTCTGCATAATTAAAATGCAGATTTCTGAGTTACACAGAAAACATAATGCTTCACCTCTAGTAAGATGGTTCCGCGGTTGGTGGAATTTGGACCCCTCAGCTGATGAACACAGCTAATTCTGACTGGTGGCTTTGAACACAGTAGAGACACAGATTGGTTGGGAGTGATTAATGGGGTAGGGTGGATGGGAATAGTTCAGGGATGTGACAGTCTGGCAGGCATATTTGCTTCCCCGATATAGATCTTCCCCTACCATCCCCATTTTGGCAAATGGATTATAAATCTTATTCATACATTCATAGATTCTAGGACTGGAAGGGACCTCGAGAGGTCATCGAGTCCAGTCCCCTGCCCTCATGGCAGGACCAAATACTGTCTAGACCATCCCTGATAGACATTTATCTAACC